ATTGCTCCACGGCCTTGGCCACTCGGCATCACATTCTGTTGTGCTGGAGCATGATACTGCATTGACCGAATTGCAACTGCAAAAACACACGATTGTTCCCGATGGGTTTCTACCGCGCATTCGTCAACAATTGTTTGGGATAATAATGATTTCAATGAAGAGACAAAATCTGGAGAAGGAACGACACATAATACAAATGGAATTTTAATACAGGTCAGAGAAACTGTTGTTGCCTCTCAATCACGAGAAAAACTTGCAAAAATCTAAGCGACGTTCTGTTCCAACTCGATCGGAATTCATAACTCCGTACCGGGGTTCAAAGACTTCCGAACCTGCTAAGATTTCAAAAGAAATTATGTATTCCACTGCCTGTTCTTCGATAACTTCCAAATATTTGAACATAGATCTTGCATACGTACTTCTTAAACTCCCAGAAGTTTCAAAAACAGTTGTTCCGGGCTGGACTGCTTTTAATACCATTCTTAATAAAAGTACTGCCCGTGTGTCGAATATTGGATACTTGCCGGTTATCGACGCACCATCTACAGATATATCAACAATTAACACAGTACTCGAAAAAGTGTTGCTATTGCTGATGAACTTGACTTACACTCTGTTGTGGTGGTATTTGATCAGGCCATATACGCTAAGGCCCAAAAAATACGTTGGAGCAATCCACTTTTCTACAAAAGATTGGTTTTTGCGACTTGGAGAGTTCCATACATGCATGTCATTCCTCTCTGTAATTGGAAAACGATACGAAAGCTCTGGTCTATCGGATATATTAATAGAGTCCCGTGTCGTTGCTCCAGGTTCCATTAATAGTATAATGCATGGTCGCCATTACAATAGGAGTATTCGAGCCCACAAACTCGTGTTTGAGGCGTTGCATAGGATGCGGTGGAACGTATTCATCAAAAACCAATCATTGCAAAGCAAAGCCAAGGTTTTCGATTTGGCATCAAAGCTGCAATAATGCTTATACAGACCCTCAACTATTCAAACAAATATGTGAAAGCAAAGAAGTGAGGAGTCTAATGGTGGATTATCAGCTTTTATAGAGCATCAGAGCAAGATGAATAAAACATTTAGTTTATGGAGTTCTTATATCGATATGGTTGAACTTCTGCTGCAATTTATCCGTGCTACTAGAGACGGCTTATGGGATCTCCATCTTGCTACACTTCATAAAATGCTACCCTGGTTTTTTGCATATGATCATATCAATTATGCGAGATATGTCTCAGTCTATTTGTCTGAAATGGAAAATTTGTCATCAAGTCATCCTGAAATATATTCAGTATTTAAAGCAGGGAAATTTTTCTGTACAGCGTCATGCTCAATATGGTTTCAGCCAAATTGCCTGCGATCAATTAATTGAGCAAACTTTGAACAGAGATTCTAAAACCCGAGGCGGAATTCGTGGGCTATCTTTAAACAAAAATGCTGTAAATAGATGGCTTCTATCACACCATCAACGCGCTCTTATTTCTATGGCATGCAGGGAAATGGCTGGAAAAGATGCTACTAGACGACAACGCAAAGACCTTGATTCTGCTAACTCAATCAGAGATGAACAAAACGTGCAATCAATAGTCGATACGGTGACCTTCATGACCGACCCGTTTGATTTAGAATGCGACTCTCTGATGAACCTTTCTTCGGGGTCCGTTGCATCAGATGCTATTAAAATGGATATGGAAGACGCATTTAGACTGGGAAAAAACAACGCAGATTTATTTTGCCAAAACCGAATTCTTGCTAATTCAACTGTAAGTATATTTACTCCTATAAAACAGCTAAAATTAAAAACATTTGCTTCGGGTAGCGCCAAAATTAACGAAAAAGTACCACACTTCTCTAAAAAATCAGAAGATAATTTCTATAGGCTTCTACTTATTGGAAAAACGAAAAATATAGAACTGCAAGAAATGCTAGAATATCCATTAACTGCTATCCCCGCATCTATTGGATCACCAAACGGAACACCGGTGAGAACTAATAAAGCCAGGCTCTTGCACGAATTGGAAAATAGTGTGCCAGAAGTATTAGTCAAATCATATCCATTGAATGCAGCTCTTGTAATAGATGGTATGGCTTTATTGCAATCTTTAAATAATATTCCGGAAACTTTTGGAAGACTCTTAAATATGATTTTCGACAGAATAATTAATATGGCAAAGTCTTACAATTGTAACAGGGTTGACTTTGTGTGTGACACTTATCCAGATATTAGCATAAAAAAATTTGAAAGGTGTCGAAGATCATCGAATGAAAGCGAAATCATCAAAATAGTAGGATTGGAACAAAAAAACGCCTAAACAGTTTAAAAAGTTTTTGTTTTCCGGCAAGAATAAGGAGGCTCTTGTAGAATTTTTAATTTCGTTTGCTCCGAATTATCAACCTTCATGTTCTGTAGGGAATATGATAATTTTTATCGGCCACGGTGCTGAGTGTCACTGCATCAATTTCAGGCAATTCCAGCTTTGCGTATCGGGCGAGCCTTCTTTGGTCAACGATCACGAAGAAGCAGATACCAAGCTTTTATTACACGCAAAGCATTGTTCATCGGAATTTAACGACGTAATTATTAACAGTCCTGATACCGATGTATTGATATTGTCATTGGCACATTCTTCCGATATTGGATGTAATTTGTATTTTTTAACGGGAAGTGGTTCGCAGTCCAGGATGTTATCAATCAGAAAAATGGTTAACTACTTCGGAAATGTCTTTTGCAAAGCTATTCTGGGTCTACATGTATTTAGCGGATGTGACACCATTAGCGCTTTCCGTGGAAAGGGAAAAGTGAAGGGTATGCGACATTTATTGAAATCAAAAGAATTCATACAAGCTTTTTCAAAGTTAGGAGATCAGTGGTACATTCCAGAAAATATTTATATTCAACTTTCAAAATTTGTTTGCACTCTTTATGGTTACTCTGATGAGATGTCTGTTAACAAAGTACGTTTTGAAATATTTCAAAATAAATCGTTAGACGAACCCTGTATGCCCCCATCTGATGATGCTATCGTACTCCATTCAGCACGTGCAAACTACCAATGTGCCATACACAGAAGAGCACTGCAAAATTTTATATCTGCTCCAAATCCTGATGACCACGGATGGATAGTAAATGATAGCAATATATATATTAAATGGATTTCAAAACAAATTGCCCCAAACTCAGTGCTAAACCATTCTAAATGCAGATGCGCCAAATTAAATTGCAAGAGCAGCAAATGCCCTTGTGTGAAGTCAGGGTTTTCATGCTCCAGTTTGTGCAGCTGCAACGATTGTAGCAACGCGGATGTCATACGTGAGGAAGACGATGATATTAATATCGAAATATGGTTTTAACTTTCATGAAGTCCATCCCAAACAACTAAAATAGTGACATACATTCATTATACGAGATGACGAGCACGAATTATTTCAATTTAAACATATTCAATAGTGATTATGCACCATATTAGCCGCTTGCTTGTTCATTTTTGATATTTTAATTGCTTTTTTTTGCAATTCTTACAATTGTCATAGTAAATTTTATAGCAGGCGGGACATGAGAAATATTTTGCCTTTTGTTTTTTTATTATTTCTGGCCAAACGCGCTCTTGCTCTCTCTGTACTCGTTTTGTGTTCTTTTCATAGCATAGGGTTTTTTAATGTTTAATTTTGCCATAATTAGTTTTGTTACTTTTACGGAAGAATATGCCATAAAAAACTAGTTTTGAAATATCCGTTTCTGTGTGTATCGATAGGAAACAGCAGGGATGGTCATTGCAGATTACTTAGTCTCCGCACAATAACAGAAAAAAAAATGTTGAAAAGCAGTTATGACGTCACATTTGACCAAAGAGCAAATTGTGACGTCACCTGTACCAAAACTCACCCCTCAAAAATTTTATTTTACGAATCCGTCAAAGGTTTCGGTATTGGACGTACAAATCTCAGGTTTAAGTAGAATATTATATGGTATATATGGGTTGTGAGGGCATGTGACGTCATCGTTAATTGTGACGTAATGCTCCACTTTGGAGATGTCAACTTTTTATATTTAGTAAATTAGGCTTTTAGCTTTCTTCCCCACTAAAATTTAGGTTCCCCCTCGAGGGTCACCACGAACTCGATTTTTAAGCGCTTTACAGATTTCGGCCCATGTGTTGCAGGCAGTCGACTGACACTTGCAGAGTTGTGCGTAGTCACCAATGGTTGTGCGATCGGAATAACAGTTGCATTGCCATCAAACCGTATATAGGCCTATATTTGGTTTACTTCAGGTTGGATAGTCACTTTGAAGTCGACCAACTGTCCGGGAATATAATTTTTCGGGTTGCAGTTGGGCCGGCGTTGCAGACAGTCGACTTACACTTGCAGACTTGTGCGATCAGAATAACAGTTGCATTGCCATCAAACCGTATAATAGACTATTCTATATCTGGTTTACTTCAGGTTGGAGATGTCTAATTAATATTTGGGTAGTTGGACAGAATATAGAACTAGGCTAATTGAATGATAATAAGTCTGTGATATGGGAACTTGGGGATTAATGACGAATGACTGCAGATTTAGGAATTGACACCCAACACTGCCTGACTGCTGTGTATTGAAGCAATGTCACATTGGGTCTCGTACCCAACGTACTTCTAGTGGGCGTAGCATAACAATTTTTCGATACGTGAAAAAATTGTCATGCTACGCCCACTAGACTGCTAGAAGTATGTCATGTAGGTACGAAACTACATGAGACTCGTCACGTTTTACAACAAACATGAAGGGGTTGGCCAATTTAGAGAAATTTAGTTGGTTATCATGGGAGAAGAGATTTAGTTGGTATTAAGTAGTTGAGTACCATATGTGAATAATGTGAGATACTATATATTAATACAGTAATAGTTACCACCATTCAGCCATTTGAAAGCATGATAACTTTTTATTACCTGACTTGAAGAATAAATCAGTTCGCTGTATGCAATAATTTAATGGTAATATTTCACTAAATTTGTAATTATTTTAGTTGTTCAGATAATTTTAAAATGACATTTGTGTGGCAACTTCGAAAAGTGCTGCATACTTCTCACCTAAAGATTTTGACTATCAGGAGCTCAAGTTCTCCACAAACTCATTTATCCTGTCATCAACATTTGAGTGATACTTCGTTTCCTTCGAGTCATCTATCATTGCAACAGAACCGCTTTTGCAGTTCTTCAACATCAAACCAGCAAAAAAATAAAAAATCTTTATGGGATGATTCTGACTGGATGAATCATAATGATTCTAATGCAGAAGCATATTCAGAACTTGACATAACAAAACTCAAGCCATTTCCAGAATTCCGTAATGTTGCAACAGGTGCTGTTTGGGGATCCAATGCCTATGAGAAAGTGTGGGGTCCATATTATAAAAAAAAGTCACCCGATGCTATGTTCAGAAAACAGAATTCGTTGTGGAAAAAATTTGTTATAGATAATGGTTTTGAGCCGACTGAATATTTTTCATCATTGGATTTTAAAGATAAATATGGTGATAGACTTGTATGGGAAGATTACAGAAGAAATCACAAGGGATCGAGACCAATACAAACAACAAGGAATTCTTGTATATATAATAAAAAGATGCAAACTGGTAGTCCTTGCCCAATATGTCGAGATGAGAAATTGTTTGTTAGTTATAAAAATCTGATATTGCTTAATCATTTTATTGATCCCTATAGTGGAAATGTCCATCACAACCTGAGGACTGGTGTTTGTAGAAGGAAACAAAAATTGCTAGAAGCTTCTGTAGCACTCGCCAGAGAACTTGGTCTTCTAGCGAAACCCATGCCCTCGTCATTCAAACAAAGACTTGATTCATATAGGGTTGATCACCCTGCTGTTTGGCCCTTAGCCGATACAACCGATGTTTCAGCCGATACAACTGATGTTCCAGCCAATACAACCGATGTTTCAGTCGATACAACTGATGTTTCTGACTAAATTGAAAATTTCTATCAATTTTATACTGTGATCCCTATTTACAGATGTCAGTTCAACGTTAACTTGCTTGAATGCTGGTGAGCTAAATCTGGGAAAAGCTCTACCCAACATATTAGGCGTGTATGAACAAATATTCTTCATCATATTTGAATTCGCAACAAAGGTGAATGTGACAGTTTTCAGTCTGACTCTGTTTCATGTATTATAGTTCTTTGCAGTGTTCACTATGAGAGCACTTTTTCCTAGAGACTGAAATTGACATTTCTTCATTTTTGAAGAGAAAAAATTTAAAATTGACAAATAAGTTGCATGCTGGTAATTTTGTAATGCAATTTTCTCCTTTCCTGTACAGCTCACAGTGGGTCGATTCGCTAGGCACTGAAAATGTTCATACTGTGTTTGCCCAAAAATAAGACAGGGTTTTATTTCAATTTTCTTTCGAAAAATAACACTAGGGCTTATTTTTTTGGGGTTGTATTTTATTTTCATTTTTCCAATATCCAAATTATGAAAACCGATACCCATTTACTTATAATTCACATGTTTTTATTTGAATAAAAATGCTAAACATAGATTATTGATAAATGACCATATCATCGTCTTCTGGAAAACGTGTAGGAGAGATTACATGCTATTTACTAGGTCAAAAAAAAATTTGCCTCAATGACTAGGTCTTATTTTAAGGGGAGGACTTATACTATAATCATTTTTAAAACTCAGGCTAGATCTTATTTCGGGAAAAAACTGTAATAGAAATAGTATTAAGTGTTGGCCTTTTTTATGTTCAGTGCTGTTACTCTCCGTTTTTCTTTGTATTCTTCTACTCAGTAAGTAGTAAGACCCTGGTTTGTCTTTTAATAATTTCATTAGGAACAAATAGGTTAATAAAATGCTTCGTTACTTTCGATATGGACCATCAAAATGGAGGACATATTCACAGAGCATGAAGATCAACCAATGTTTAAATAGATTTTCAGAATATGATAAGACTAAGTGAGTGCTATTGGGGTCTAGTCTCTAGTGTAGTTTAGTACCTCTAGTAATTGTAGTTGGCATGGCAAAACAATTTTTGCATATGTCTATGGGGGTGGGGGTTAGGATTGACATGTTCAAAAATCGTTATGCTACGCCCACTAGAAATACTTGAGGTACGAGACCCTGACATAATTCTGCAATCTTTTCTACATGAAGTTGCTGTTCATAGAATAGTAAATACTTGGTGTTCTTAATCTGAAAATAGGAAAAATATGAGTTGAAAGAAAAACTATGCAAGCCATTAGTCAATTTAAATAGTTGTATATACCAGTATAATGCTGAATATTTCATTTCTAGGTTGATTTCATGGTCATCGAAGCGATCTCTCTATTGCAACGTCTCTAATAACAACAGTTTCCAAGCTGCAGGGCTTAGTCTTCAACAGTTTGACGATGCACAGTCACAAGGAATCGCAAGACTAATTGAAGCATACAGGTATGCTGATTTTATATCATCTTACCTTGAATTTACTGCCGGCAGCATCATGCTTTTACGATGAATGCTATACAAATGAACAGCAGATAATATTTACCAGTGATTCGTGAGTCTTGCTGTAGGAGGTAATTTGGAAGTACCCCACATTTGCATAAAACTTTCAAAGTCAAATTTGTTGTATTGAGTTCATTTTCGACATTCATTTTCGATTTTCTGACATGCCAACAACATATCAAAGTTTATATAAATTGCACAACACAGATAGTATAGAGCAGGACTACTCAACTATTTTCAACAAAGGTTCGTTTAGAAAACTTCAAAATTACTGGGGTCAGGACATTACAGAAAATTTATTTCATCAAATAAACGAAACTTCAAATGCAATTTTAAATTAAATACAAGAGCAATGAATGGCTCACAAATATGGACACAGATATCGTACATCGGTAGCTTTGTATTTAAATTGTATCAAAATCATCTAACACTTTAAAACGATGCTTATTATGCCAAAATATACAAGCCGCTGCGGTCCCAATTAAGTAGTCGAAAGGTCCGGATTTGGACCGTGGTCCGCCAGTTGAGTAGCCCTGGTATAGTGTATAGACAATGCATTTTTATGAGGAAAATTGTACACTCGCTCGAAAATAAAAGAGATCGATCTCTGAGCATATTCACTGGTGACCATGAAAGTGCCAAGAGCTACTGAAACTATGCAGAATTATAGCTGTATAGTGTAGAATTGCATGTTAGTAAACACTGATTGATGCAAGACTTAATCAAAGCAGTTCATGTCAATACAACCAAGAAAACAGATATTAGGTATTGAGGTTGAACTCAAAATGAAACGTTTGTAAATTGACTAATTTTTAGAGTCTTTTTTTTTATAATTTCTTGTTCATTTTCACTTGTTTACTGCCAGGGTGCATGGTCATAAAAAAGCAGATGTTAATCCACTTTACAAAACAAGTCAAAAGAGTGATGTTGAAGAATTGAGGCCAGAAAATTATGGACTTGATATGAATTCAAATATCACTCTGAATGGTGAGTGTTTTGGGAAGAAATAACAATTTAATTCTCTTGAAACTTAGTTTATTCAAATAAGTATAAAATTACAAATGTGAAAATATAATTTGATTGTTAATAAAAGCTGGAGCCACTGAAATCTCTGGTGGCTCTGGTACCAGCTCCATGAAAATGTTACAGCTCTAGGTCTGGCATCCCAGCCCTAATTTGAATCTGAATTTCATTTTGAGAATCTGTTTTAAAGACCATTAATGAGAAAAAGAATCTACATATCTGAAAACTGTGATGAATATTTATAAGTATTGGTTGTAGTATTCAGATATTGATTCAGATGTGGATGTAATTTCCTGTTATCATTTACTAGAATAGATAATTAAAGCCTGCCTGACAAGCCTGCTTATTCTTGTTGGGATGTTTCTACATTTTTTGAAACAAGTACAAGTAATGTCTTTTTCTTCAAATGTAATTTTAGTCTTATATAATATTTAATATGTTAATATCTTGCCAATGTCTCTATTTACTAATCTTTAGATTTTCTGTTCTTTTTTAGGTGGAACAACAATTAGTATTTCAGATCTTATTTCTCATTTGGAACATGTTTTCTGTGGGTCAATATCTGTTGAAACATCTCAACTAGAATTTTCTGATGAAAAAGAATTCATTTGTCAAAGCATTAATCAAGCTCGTTATGAAGAAATGGATGATAAGAAGAAAAGAAATCTTGCTGAGCTACTGATTAAATCTCAGGTTGTATGAAATTTCTGGAATGGTAGTTTCGGTATGTTCTTTTTAGGGTAGTCGAGGGATGGCCAAAACAGAATTTCACTATTCCGAATACATTCGAGAAAATATTCTTGAATATGTAATATTGAATACATTCTAAAGTTGGGGCAAGTTCATGGGAAAAATGATGTAAATCACCATATCTTTATTTTGATCATATCTGAAATGACATAAATACAATGGTCATTGTTTTCTCTGTGTTGTTTGTTATCAGTTAAGATATAGTATGTTTAAATCACTTGTCTGGCACAGAATCAATGATTTTTCAATATCAAGGTTCTAAATTATTCCTAAATTCAAAGATATACTATATCGAATATGATAAAATTCGAATATTCGATTCGTTTTGGACATCCATGGTCACTGGTGCCCCCACTGCCCATACTCATATTGTAATTTGAATATATAAATCACAATTGAAAATTTTATTTATGTAAATTGATAATTTTGAATGCACATCTGCGTTTAAAATGATTTTAAATTGTACTCAATCAATGAATCAAGAAATTTGCATGAACTGGAATATTTCCACATTTCAAGCTTAGCGGCTGATATCTATAATTTGCTGTTACATAATCTTCTTTTTAATACATGTATAGCAGTACTCTTAGACTATTCAAACTATGACATATCATGCCATAAATCATGTTTCGCTATACAGGAGACGGGAATATTATCGATTTATCTAATATTAATTGATCTGATAAATTGTGATATGGAATATTTTTATAATTAATGAATTTTATTCATCAAAAGTTGACAGCTAAGCTAGGGTTTCCAATTCTAGATACTTTTTTTTTCGAATTGGATATCGAATCAAAGATTTATGAATTAATTTTATTTTTGTGTGTGTTTATGCTAGGTGTGATTTAGATAATAAAGTTTGGTTAATATACCATTTTTTTCTGTTTTTCTTATGTTCCTAATACTTTCTTTGAACCTAAACTTAACCTAATTTATAATGAACAAAATCAGAGAAAGCATATCAGAAACTTAGTTTCTTTAGGGCAATTTAGTTTTGTCCAAATTATTAATAAATTATAAAGCACACTATCCACATAGATTGCATTATGGTTTAATTGTATTATAACAATTACAGTAAAAAAATATTTTATCAGGTTCGAAGAAACTTACAAAATACTTGTTTTTATCACAGGGTATAGATCATTTTATCAATAGCAAATTCAAAACTGTGAAACGGTACGGAGGTGAAGGTGCTGAGAGCGCTGCGGCTTTTTCTGACGAAATTTTCAGGTTTGCGGCGAAGGATGAAATAGAGCAAGTTATAATAGGCATGCCCCATAGAGGAAGATTGAACTTATTGGTCGGCCAACTAGACTTACCTCCAGAGGTATGAAACTAAAAATCAGACATAGTGGGTAAACCTGTCAATTGTTGGGTCTCTTTGCTTTTCTTGGGTTTTAAATTTTTTTGTCTAAATAAATCGCTTGGCCATAATGCTTACACAATGTAAAAATCACTATATTTTGGTATACATTTGGTGCACATTTCAAGGACTAAACCTGAAAAGGATGTTTTGAGTATCATTATCTAATGAATAAAAAAAAAATTATTTTTGATTTTTAAACCCCTGTAACTTTTTATCGGTTGAATTTTGTAAATATTGCTTCATATTATGATTAGATTGAAGAGAATATCTTTCTTTGTTTTACTTTAGATTAAGAATTTGTGAATTTTTATAACTTTCTCCGTTGTCTTAAAACCCTTGTCCACCACTATGGGTTTTCTGATACAAATCATTGTATGTAGGTATTTGATCAAGAATACTGGCCCTTCCCTGTCTGTAAGATGTTAACTTAACAGATTTCTTCGCCGTCTAAGCTCATGCCTCTGGAATGATTTACTGGTTAGCTATACTCATATTCAAGTAACCAGCCGAGAAGCTGTCCATTCAATATAATACCAATGAGACTTTCAGATTTCCATATAATGCAATGTCTTCATTTGGCAGGTTTTATTCCGTAAAATGAAAGGTTTGACTGAATTCCCTGAAGAAGCCTCGTCATATTCTACTGGAGATGTTATCTCTCATTTAACATCATCAACTGATCTTGTGTATGATGATAACACAGTCCATGTTACTATGCTGCCTTGCCCTTCACATTTAGAGGTATATTATTTACTGAATCCATATTAAGCCTGATTATGTATTCTGATTTCTGACTATGCAAATTTTTACAATACATGATGTACAGGAATTGGTGCTGTACTGAATATTTTTTTAATTTACTTTAAGTGTGTATGTTGTTTGTTCAATGCTTGCAATGGTTTGTACAAGTGTACTTTTAGTATAGACCAGGGGTGTGCAACCTTTAATACAGCAGGGCCACATACAAATAACTGGGTGAAACTGCAGGCCACACCTACGTTTAACATAGGCTTTCTAGTAGTTGCAGGCATAAAAATTTTGGCTAATGATCTTATGAGATGCGTTGTTCGCTTCGCCCAAGCTAGCTGTTAGCGCATTGTAACTTCATATAGGTATAGATAATATATTAGACTCAGCACTCAGGTATAGGCTTTGCAACGCAATGGGATTACAATTACTCGCACATACCAGATTAAACTAATTTAACACCATTCAAAATTGCTACTTCTCCGCGGGCTGCACAATTTTTCTTTGCGGGCCACATTTGGCCCGTGGGTTGCCCATGGCTGGTATAGAGAAAGCTAACAATGAATAATCTAGCATTAATAACTTACTTCACTTGAGTGACTAAACATACCGATATAATATTCACTGCATTGCCTGCATCGTGGAAGTACATTTCAACCGACTTGTACTCCCTGCTACCATAGGCAATCTCAGTGTCTCAAAAATAATTTTTTATATATTAGCAAGAAATAAATCTTAAATATGGGTGAAACTTATTAAATAACTAAGACGACACTGTCATTGGTATTTGTAGGACATCTGTCATGTATTTAAATTAAATTTTCTTTGTGTTAAGGCTGTTAATTCTGTAGCAATGGGGAAATGTCGCGGAAGACAGTTAACGCAAACTCTAGGGAAACATTCAACAGATGAGTTTCCTATTGATGGAAAGAAAGCATTGTGTTTCCTAATGCACGGTGATGCAGCTTTTGCAGGGCAGGGTAATGATGATTAAATTATATACTGCGAGTATGTTTGAGCTTATATCAAATTCCTCCTTGCTGCTGCAGATTGATTCATGGGGACTTAATTCCTTCACGATCGAATTGATGCATGTGAAATGAATGACTGGTTAGCTCAATGGTTCTCAAAGTATCATAATCTGTGACTCTCTTCCATAACACTCAACACTCTGTTGCTTCCTGTATAAGCTATGTGCTCACATAAGCCCGAGTGCAACCTTGCGTGATGTGATAAAGGACTGGACGCAATCGCCATGATTGAATAATTTGTTAATGAGAGTGTAGTATTTTATTTATTATAGTATTTATTTATTAAATTTCATTAAAGTATGTTGTTATTACGATTAATGAAAATGGATATTGCAGCCCAGCTTTTCATTTTATTACTTCTAATCTCTCCAGGTGTTGTAGCTGAATGTTTTAATATGTCGAATCTTCCTCATTTCTCTGTTGGTGGAACAATACATCTCATTGTTAATAATCAGATTGGTTTCACAACACCATCACATCAAGGAAGATCATCAAGATATTCTAGTGATATCGGTATGTACCACAAGAGAAAATTTTTTTTTTTTTTTGTAAAATTGAGTTTTTGGTATGCAATTTTTAGGTTTGCTCTTTTATTATGTTAACATTATTATTGCCTTGTTATTATCTGCATCAGAAATCACTTGCATATTTACCTCAGATTATAATTACGAGCCATTATTTCTGGCTATGCCTCTTTATTTTGTTTAATTTTAATTTTTCAGCAATTAGCTTTTTTACAATGGTTTCTTCTTATTCTATTTTTTGTTTGAATAACTCTGTTTTTTGTTTTATTTGCCTTCAGGTAAAATAATTGGATGTCCCGTTATACATGTGAATGGAGATTATCCAGAAGATGTCGTTAAAGTTGCAAACATTGCAATGGAATATCGGAAAAAGTTCAAAAAGTGAGTCTTACGACCTTAAACTCATCTTGTGAGTGATTATCCCCAACAGCTCAGTTAATCCCATGTCTCCTACCACATCCAGAGTGTATAAATTGGGTAGGCAATGCCATTCTATATAATTGTAGATCCGCTCATATCATAAGATATCCATGTCAGCTTTTATAGGGCCTTATTCAGAGTGAAAAGCATGAATAAGCTTGGTATAACAGAACAGGAAAGCTTTTAATATTATTAATCAATATTTTTTTTTTCGTAGCTAGACAGAAATCCACTTAGGCATACTTATGTAAACATACTTATCCTGCTATGATGTCAAAATCACTTTACAGAGACATCATTGTGGATTTGATTTGTTTTCGACGATGGGGCCACAATGAAATTGATGATCCTTCATTTACTCAACCAATCATGTATCAAGAAATTGAAGCTCGGCATTCTGTACCTGATTATTATGCTCAGAAACTTGTGGTAACATTTCTATTAAAATGTAGGAATATTATTTTGGTAGTATATAGTTAAATGGTCTGTGGAGCCAGGAAAAATTAACTCCAGGGTTTTTACTATGGCTCTCGACTTCGGATTGAATGAAATTTTGGCTTCGACTCCATCTCTGAACTACGAGGAAACCCAAGTTTTGACAACAACAACTTTTATGTACTCACAGCTGCACGCTATCTTTTATGGTCTGTTTAAAATAATTATTCAACTTGATGATTACGAGCCAAACCCTGGCTCCCGAAACCTGATCATATTTTCCCCCTCTTTCAGGTGTCATCTGTAGTTGTCTGATTGTTACATTTTTATATTTATGAATTTCCCAATATTATACTGGTAGTAATGTTGAATGCTTTTAGATATTTCAAAATGGGATAATCTTTTTTATGTTTTATAGATTTCAAATAAGTAGGGTGGATTTTTCCTGGGGGTGGCCAAAAAAGAGTAATCTGCTATTCAAAAGAGATTCTAAAATCATTTTTTCAATTATATGGAATATCACATATATTCTGAATTGGTTATGCTTTTCTATTTTTTACAGTTTCCATAATTGAAAAGAAGTCATTTTTGGCCATACTGTGATGCTTCAATTGGAAACAATAATGCTTTAAGTGAAACTGTTCTGAATTATCAAGAATTGAAGAGATCTAATATGATTAATTATGACTACTCGATTCAATTTGGACATCCATGATCTCCACATTTCCATAGAGTTTAGTGTCATTTTGTTTGATACAAGTATTTAATATGCTTAAAATTGAACCTAGGAATCTGAAGTTATATCTTCCGAAGAAGTCAGTCAATGGAACGAAGAACTTCAATCTAAATTTAACGAGCATTTAAAGAACACAGATTCATACATTCCTCCTCGTACTTTTCTACATGAACAATGGTCATCAATGAAAATTCCACAATCGTCGGAATATACTTTGTGGGACACAGGATATCCAGTTGACAACTTAGCATATATTGGAGTAAAATCTGTTGAAGTTCCTGACTCACTGGTAAATCTGACTTATGTTAATATTCTCCTTTATTAGGTGTTTCATCTTGTATCTTCAAATGTAATCTAATGTGGAAAATTTTTTAAAAAAAATATTTGAGTAATCTAGGAATTAACAGTCCAGCTGAAAGTTTTTGAATTTTTTTTATTTTTATTTCTGATTAGTTGATTGTTATTTTTACACAATAAGCGATATATCCATGTTTTTATACGTCCAATGCATGCAGTACAACGTCAGTGGTGTTACAAATAAGAAACGGCATTTGAATATAATGGGATTCCGAGTCTTTTAATAGCCACAGGAGTAGGTCTCGCGTGCGGTTGTGTGCCGGTGCCGTAAGTTGCCGCCTCCCCTCTGCCTCAGACTATTCACAATCTTGAAAGATATAAAGTGAATTTGGCTGTAATTCCAATCTTGTTGGAATCAAACCCTTGGAAACCCCTTTTTTAGCATTATTTATTATTGTTATACCTTTCCTAAATATTTCATGTTCATATCTATTTGTTAGGAAATGCATTCACGATTAGTGAAAATGTATGCTGATGTTCGCAGAAATAAAATGGAAACTGGAAATCCTGTTGATTGGGCAACAGCAGAAGCTCTCGCTTTTGGGTCTTTGTTGCAACAAGGTGAAGATTCTCTGTTATAATTTGGTTTGGTGGGCTTTGTATTCTTGAAGGCTTTAGAACTTTAATTTTCTATGATCATGTTAGTTGAAACTGAATCAACTATAAAAAAACTATTTTCAGATTTCAGCATCCGACTTTGTGGTCAGGATGTTGGCAGAGGAACATTCAGTCATCGTCATGCTGTCGTTGTTTGTCAAGATTCTGAAATAATTCATGTTCCACTCAATCATCTGAGTGAAAATCAGACAAGTCAAATTGAAGTAGGTGACAATTTTGTACCATGATGCTTTTGACAATTACGAGGCATTATGCCAACTATTGGTTGAAAATAAATTGAATACTTGATGTATATATCTATCGTTAGTACTATTCTAGTTTTCACATTTCATTTTGATTTATATTCATTAGAAAATTGAAATATATCTTTTCTCGTACCACATTTCATTGGACAAGCAGGCTGATGTAAACATAATCAATTATTGCATTCATATTTGTCTATTACACTCGTACTTTATTTGAATCTTGAAATATAGTACAAAATGTGTAGGGTCTTGCTGTAGAGTCCTTCTAATTCAAACACATATCAAATGTACACAGATGCTCACCCCTATTTTTGAAATTGTCTAAATAATTCTTAGGAAAATCATTATGCATTTTTTTTTTTTGATTAGGTTGTGAATTCTCTTCTATCTGAGGAAGCAGTTCTTGGATTTGAGTATGGAATGAGTGTTGAGAACCCAAATAGACTTGTTATATGGGAAGCTCAATTTGGAGATTTTTTTAATGGTGCACAAATTATTGTTGATACATTCGTGAACTCTGGAGAAGGTGAGCGATGGTGACTACAGCGGTCGTTCTCAACCTTTTTTCTATCTTGGCTTACTTTGGTTGCACAAAAAATACTTTGGCCCATCAACTTTCTCATGCAAGGGAAGAACAAAAAAAAAATTCTGCAAAGATAGGCATTTCCACTTTAATAATTAAAATGAAAATTACCATTCAGTAGCAAAAAACAGCATTATCACTAATTTCTAATACAATCAAACTTAACTAATTCACCAATACGTCTGGCATTTTTGAAAGATTTGTGACTCACCTGTAAATGTTTCTTTGGCCCAGCAGTGGGCCATGGCCCACTGGTTGAGAACTGGTGGAATAGAGTTTTGACAATATGGCAATATTTCCTGCTAAGCGTAAATTATTAAACTAGTATCGCACAAGAACCGAATCCCCAATTGCCAGACATAAGCATATAAAACTCGGTAGTCAGGCCAAATATAAGAAAATTCAAGATAATCATCAAGACGAATAAAGAAATAATACCAAAGGACCAGATTTGAATTCAGTTAAACAAATTCAGACATAAACATGCATTGCATTGCGATAAGGTACCATTGTCAAAATTCAATCACATGTTTTTTTCGGCGGTTTTTCCTTCTTTTGTTGTTTCAAGAGGTAAGGACATTTTGTCATGTCCCGATAACCGCCCCAAATTGGTGGAAAACTGACACAGTAATAGTAGTTTCTTCCGTCTGGTTGATATGTAATAGGCCTACCCAAAAATTCAACCCATAGAGGATTAATTGAAATCTTCATCTCTTAACAATTTTAATTATTCTAGCGAAATGGCTGACACAAAGTGGTCTTGTTATGTTATTACCCCATGGATATGATGGGATGGGTCCAGAACATTCATCTTGTAGAATTGAGAGGTTTTTACAAGGAACAAACAGCAAAGAGGACGGTAAGACATTCAATGTTTGATTCATTTTACTTCCGTAGAATCGAAATAATCATGCGTTCACTGAGAGTCTACCATTTCGAGAAACTTATAATTGTTCATGTGTAATTTGTGTAAAAAGGTCCCATAAGGAAAACCAAACTATTTTAAATTCCTGATGTACTGGGCATGTCTATATTTGGAAACTTTATTACAAAAACAGACTGGCAGTATTTGTTGAGTGTTGAGGGAGACATTTTGTTCTCTCACTCCCGGCACCGAATAAACAATTTTTTTATATTTCTATTACCTTGTTTCTGCATTTTTAATTCAATATATTGTATTGTGTTTGTGATTTTAACACAACAAAATCTAATTGGTTTTAAATTTTTTTCTGTTTTGTCTGGCAAAAATATCATTTTTTTTGTATGCGCTTCAAGAATCTTGTTGCACTCTAACACAAATGAATTCCCGTAACCAAGGTCACTGTCAAAGTCGAACTATGCTTAAGAATTTCGACCTCAGTCAGACAAAAATGCAATTTTGTTAATGTGCAGCAAGACTCTTGAATCACATGGAATAGTCACATTTTTTTTAAAAACAGCAACCTTGCATTATTATGCATATGGATCGAATAGGGCAAAGGCATAGAGGAACAAAAGTAGTTAGTCTCTCATGGTTCCAACAGATATTTATGTATGTTTATTGTTATAATTACTGCATTAATAATTAAATGCTGCTTGTGGGTTTTATTTATTAACCTATGCAATTTATTTGTATATTTTTGTTTATCCTCAAATATTCAATCCAATGCTTACTTAATAGGTATTGATGGAGATGACGTCAACATTCATTTCTGTAATCCCACAACACCAGCTCAATATTTTCATTTATTGCGAAGACAGATGATAAGGAATTATAGAAAACCACTTGTTGTTGCTTCACCAAAAACACTCCTCAGATTACCAGTAAGTTTTATCGTGTCAAAAACACGGAGATTTAAAAAAAATTCAATATGGGATGGGATAGGTAATTCATATTTGTTACAGAAACAATGACTTTATGGTGAAAGAATCTGTAACCATCCATTGGTTGTGTGAATCAGCCAACGACAGGAAGGAGTCCAGCAATCGTAACGCACATAATTCTCTACCACAGTTTTAACCTGTGAAGGGTAAACAGAGGTTTGATGGAAGCGTATTCCAAATTTATTCACACACGATGTACCATATTCTATTTTATAAAATACTACATTTTATATCAGGGGTGGGTAAGGTTATTGGATCAGGGGCCAAAAATTTGCCCACATTCACTGGCGGGCCATGTAATTGTGACGTAAAAAAATACATTTTATGAACAATGTTTACACTGTTACAAAGCAACAGTGGGAAAACAATAGGCCTTGTGCCAAAACTAAATTTAATCGCAATCAACAAATTCCTTGAGCTATTTTTAGCTGAACCATCAAAATATGGTTTTCGTTTTGGTCGTGGCAGCATCTGGCGGAACAGATTGAATCACCCAGCGCGCCGGAATTGGCCCGCTGGCTGTACTTTGCTCATGTCTGTTCGATACTGTTACTGTTTTCTATAAAATGTGCTAATTCGGATTAAAATAATCATAAATTTTGTAATGAAATTGACTACAAACTGTCTTTTGTATACTCCCACTATTCTGTTACAGCCCCGGTATTTCTTTATTTAGTATTCTCACATTCCGACATAATAGTTTGTTGATTCAGAGCGAACCAAATCTAAATAAAAATAATTACACTGATGCTGTATTTTTGTATTGTTTGTATTAATATAAATAAACTTTGCAGGCAGCTACATCTTGTCTGTCAGAAATGGGACCCGGTACTCATTTCAGACCAGTATTGCCAGATCCTTCAATAAAAGATCAAAGCAAGTAAGTGCATTACTATGTACAAATGTTAGTTAGAATGGAAAAAGCAAATCAAAAACCAGTGCATTGCATTTGATCTTATCACACTTCAGTTATCTTTAATGCAGGTGGAACAGATCTAAGTTTTTCTCGTTACTTATTTAATATATTTTTTTTGAAACTAATAGTAGTAATGGTTCTATTTCGAGACTGAGGCTATCTTCCATTTTCCCCTCAAGACATCCATAACATTCCATTATGATTTTGCTATGAAGTCAGTTCTCAATATATTCTAACCAGGTTTGCTCTATTTTAATCAGTGTTTATTCAAGTTTTTTCACTTCATTAATACACCTGTAGGAGTCGTCTAACTATAAATAGTATTGATAAATTCCCTTTGCAATTTAAAAATTGTAAGACTTTACGAGCACCCTGTATATTAAACTTTTGCATTACAGGCTTCAAAAAGTGATATTTTGTTCTGGCAAGCATTATTATACACTCGTAGAAGAAAGAGACAGATTAGGCTTGAGTGCAACTATTGCTGTTATTCGTGTGGAAGAATTGTGCCCATTCCCTGCTCACGATATAAGGCAACAGGTTGCAAATTTGCCAGATGGTATTTCTTATAAATGGGCACAAGAGGAACCAAGAAATATGGGTGCTTGGAATTTTGTTTCGGCTCGTTTTGAGAATATACTCGGTATTAAGGTGAGTAATGACAGTCTGAATATCTTTTCTATGTCAGGTTGTAGTGCTGGGTTTTGAATTTAAATCTATAAGAAACGTGCAAAAATAATATATTTACAAGGTAAATAAATACATAGGTCGTAGAAAATCAAAATGCAATTTTTATTTTCAATAACAAGCATATTCATTATTACTGACACTTTTTTACAATGCATTTATATGCCTTTTACTCCGAAGAAGGCTCAGCACAAGCAGCCAGTGCTATGTAAGAAGCTACTTCGGTGACGTACCGACGGTTACGTGAACCACCCTAGGGCGGTGAGGAGTCCAGCAATCCTTTCGCACATAATTACTCCCACCGGATTCAAACCTGCGAGCCCACACAGGGTAATCCTAATGCTTAACAAAATGTGCAACTCTTAAAGTTTGTTCATATTTGAAAGAACCAATTTGTTATCTTTCGTTCCACGTCAAATTGAATTCTTGTTTATTTTTTAAGCATTAAGTTAACTTTATTCTTTTTTTACCCAGCTGGAGTATGCAGGGCGACCTGTACTTCCAACACCTGCAGTGGGAGTTGGAAAAGTACATAAAGAACAGGCAGATCAAATTTTAATCGATACATTCAAGTAGCTTCGGAAAGGGAATGCTTTTTTATTTTGTATAATCTACTGAATTTTTAAAATCACGATGAAATTTACCTGAACATTCACATTATACTGTTGAACTTTTTCAACTAATTCTATGTATATTTCAAAGTTATGTAAATGGTTTATTTGCTAGATTAGACTTTTTTGTCGTGATGTGCCAATCCCAGCTGATTTTGTTCCGTAGTGCTTGTCATACACATTGTTACTGTAAATGGAGTGCAATAGAATCTATGCTTTGGTGTTCAAGTGTATTTTTAAAATATATTTCTTGTTAAAACTATGTGAATTAGATTAGGTTAAGGCCTACACGTTTGTGGTTGTCGATTTCGGTGTGTTCAATACTTGTCCTGAACCAAACGGATTCTTGCAGAACGTCGACTTTTGCGATGTCGTGGTCTTGCTGGGATGAAATTTCACTCATTGCTCTGTTTTGTACTAGACTTAGGAATATTAGTAACTAAAACAACGATGCACCATAACTAATGCCTGTGCGTAATTGGAGAATAGTTCATGTGGTTCGTTTCATTATTTAAACTAGTCAAATTTGGTACTCCCGAAGTATGTTTCCTAGGTTAGGGTTGGGCCATAATTTTATACCAATTCTCCTTATTTTAGTCCATTACGAGTTCGGGCACTGTCTGTGTTAACCAAGCGAATATACCCCCTGCCCATAGGCTTCAGTCCCTTTTCACAACTTGATGTAAAGTAGGCGAACAAAATTAGTTACCTCCATGTTGGTACACACACTTTTGGAGCGATTCGAATGTGTGGATTCAAGGAGGAATCTCCTAATGGTGCAAATAAAAGGGAAAATAGAAAAGCATCTACTGGGGAGCCGAGAAGACTTTCACTCGCCTAAGTTGTTTTGGTTATAATTTAATTTTTGAGTCGAAATTTTCCGGTGTTTTGAGTGAAAAGGGATTGCTAACCGGAGCCGAAGGTTTGTCATCCGGAATTGCCTTTTAGTAGCTTTAGTCTGATGCAGATTTTTCACATCTGTCATTTTTGTAGTCTTATTCCAAATCCTTACTTCTTGGCATCATTGTATGACTCTCTGGGATTTACCCATTAGTATCTAATTGTGGTTCATTATTCGCACGAATGCAATTCTATATAAATTAAAAAGTCACCTCACGTTATCGTTATTCTTAGATTACTAACATGCCCCAGGCGTGCAAATTCCAGATCACTGCCGTTTTTATTTTTGATATCTGGTGACTTCTCGGCGGAGCAATGCTTGTCCTCTAAAATTTATTTACATAAAATCGTGATCAGTAATTTGAAGTTTTGATTTCCTATGTGAAATTTCATGATTTGATTAAATAAGATTATGCAAATTTGATGTGATATTGCTCCAAGGAGCTATTAGTAAATTCACCGAGTCGTGATCAAGGTGAAATAAAATTAGGTTTTCACGACACGTTTCATGAAATTAATCAAATTATGCAATACGTCTATATACAACATAACAAATTAGGAAAACACCTATTCGTCAAGATTATGGGAGATAAATGTTTAACTCGAATAGTGAATTAGATTCAAAAAGTATAAATACCGGAGAAATTTTAAACACATCATTCGATTTTTTTTGATCAAAATCTAGCTTGCTGTATTCTGTTGCTAGTTATCGTCAACCTGTTGAACGATTGACCATGTTCAAACTATTACTTGTCATTACATGCCGATTCATTCTTGTGAATTCGAACGAGAATGTTTTAAAACGAGCAGGGGAAGGATGGGCAGCTGCTGCTAATCAGTACAAGTCCATTGTTGGGACGCATGGAATGCCATGGGCGTTTGCAAAAACTCTGTGTGAATCGAAAGGGGCAAAATTGGCGTCAAAAGGTATTCGAGATCCAATGGTACGAGATTATCTATACAAATATTTTATACCGAACGGGCCTATGAGGGTATGGATTGGATTGACTGATTCCCAACAAGAAGGTCAGTGGAGGTGGCTCGACACTCCATGGAAGTTTTCATACCCGAAGAACCTTACTCCAGATAGAGATTGTGCCAGTATGGGGAAGCCTGGCGGTGGTGGTCAAATTATGGACTCTCCATGCAAAAACAGATATTTGCCACTTTGTGAACTCGAACCAACAGCATTCGTTGCGTTATAAGTAATGTTTGCTATCTGGCATGTCATATTCGGTGATTTTGTTAATGTGAAATGGTTCATCTCAATACATGTTTAAAATACAATTAGGAATCAGTTTTATTTCCGAATACTAACCGATTAAGTAGCCCTGTACCACTTTTCGAACATATAAATTTAATGGATTTTGTTTTTCATTACTGTATTCGTGTATTCCTTTTACGGTGAGCCTGTTATAAACGGCGACAGAGATGATATGCCACACCAATTTTGAACTCGATTATTCCTGCATATCTGGCCTAAATATTCGTTTAATAAAATATACACCATTGGTATTCAATTTTTCTTCGTATGTCAACATTCTACGCTTCAAACTGCATCTGAACTTTTGGTTCAGGACATCTGACGCTGCCACCTGCTTTCTTTAGTTGCTTGAGAATTGAGATAGCCTACTATTAACCAAATCGTATTACATTTTAACAAAACGACTGGAAAGTAAAAATAAAGAATTGAGTACGATGCACAATAGAACTTGGATAGTATTAATAACGAATTAGTTAATTAATGAATTAATTAAAGAGCTTCGCCTTCAATCCTGAATGGCTGAACTTCAACAAACTTATGCCTGTAAGCGAATGCATGGTATGGTCGACAAGTTTCACATTGAAATAATACAGAAAATAAGTATTTTGGTAGAAGTATTTTCAACAGCTTGCTTGTTCCTTTGTATAAAATGCAGTATTTACATGTCAGCTTCTTTCAAATTTCTGCAATAAAAATAGGAAAATTACATATATATATATATATTAATAAAAAGGTATCTTTGCCTTCTCAATTCATAAATATCAATGGTGGATTCGCGGGATGGAATATCACATAAAATTATGTCTCATTCAATTATATAATTAATCCAACACGCCTAATAGACGTAAAATATTCCTTAAGTGCGCACTGTTCTATTTCAAGCACAAGTCTGCGCAGGATATATTTTTACAAAACCATGTGATATATTGAAGTCTTATAATGTTCAATGTTAATATCAACAAACCAATAGTGCCAAAATCGAAAAGTGTAATTTTGTAATTCCAAATGGGATATATCTCGGTCGTTACATACAGGCTGTAAAGTAACTAGGTCAGGGGTGGGCACTCTTTTTCGGCTCGCGTGCCAAAATCTGCAAAATTTAACGACAAAATTCTTCCGCGTGCCGACCAAAATTAAAACAATACTTTGCTACTTTCAAAGTAAACAATAATAACCCTTTTGAACATGTACAGACAGATTCACTATTCGGGAAAACATCAGTCCGACAAATAAATATGATTACTTTTTCTATTCTATATCAGTGATACTTCTGCTGCTGATATAGATTTTACATTGGGTTTATATTTTGTAACTTTCAAAGAAATATACGAACTACTGGTTTCATCTTCCAGGCTATTTCTATTACGAGATCTAATAACTTACATAACTGAGAACAGAGCTTCACAAGCATATCGTCACGCTAATAACCGAATTTGCGTAAGTCATTTTTAGCAGTTTTGAGAAAAACGTAAAAAACTTCCTAATGAAATTGCTATGCCATTGAGAGTCAATAATTTGCCATGGTTGAATTTTTTGATCGTAGCCGGATTCAAGTTAATTTGTATGACGCAGTCATATGACGTCATAATGACGCACTGTGACTTAGGCAGAAATGTGTCTATGACTAGGTGACATACGCAATTTTGCAACTTGACTATATGTACCAGTCCTGAAAACCAAACAATCCAAAAACGAATGTAATTCTTAGTATATACTATATACGAAGTCTAATCCCCAAAATAGCTAATCTGTTTCAATTACATTATTTTTTATGTTTAAAATATATATTTCATCAATACAACACGCTCTGCACATCCACCGAAATAAGACTAAAGTTAAATATGAAGAATAAAACAGCAATGTACCCTTATATAAAAGTCAACCAAGGTGAATTGGACTCAGACAGTGAATATCACAAGTGCATGCCTTCCTATACTGTAGTATAAATTGAAATTTATAAGCGCTAAGCTAGAATCTGAGATGCAAAAACTCGAAAATCCTTCGCCGAGGTTATTTTGCCTTTGTGACGTCACAATAGTCCTGCGTTAACAGTGATAATTCATTATGACGAAACAATTGAACAAATTTGCATATTATACAAAATCTCTATTTTTATGGGTTTTGGAATTCTTAAAATAAAATCTGAGTTAACAGACAGGTGCCCAGCATTACATAAATACCTGTTTTATGAAAAACTCAAAACCGCCAAAAATGACTTACGCAATTCGGTTATTAGCGTGACGATATGTAGATGAAAACATGTAGAGTGAAGCAGTTGCAGAGTTTTTAATTAAGACACGAAAAATATACGGGAATGGCATACCAATTACGCAATAGTTCGTTTTCATCCACTTCCCTATTGTATTCCCTTCCCTAATCGCGTATATTTCTTTCGAAACCAATTTATAACAGTAAGTTAGCAAGTAACTATAACCAACATGAGCTGTACCACTTTATGAATCAATCAGAAATGACAAAAAAGGGTGGCACTATAAGGGTGGCAGTAGTGGCGGCGCGTGGTCATTTTGACAACCGGGGCAAGCTACTGCGGGACCAAGTCACCCCCATCTACGGGGACAGGATGAGCGCTGTAAGTTCTCCAATCATTTTATGAGTAAAAAAACTATTCCATCGGTAACAACCAATCGGCAAAAGCGACAATTCTTAACGATAAGAAAGTGTATTTAAAACCGGTCCAAGTCAAGGGATTAATAAATATAGACATAGTTTATTTTGAAACCTCTTTCAAAAGGAAAGGCAATATTTACCCAGATGAATACAATGACATATTAACAGAAACTTCGGGAAAGCAGACAAAACCTAAAATAAGGTTTAAAACGTTACTATGAAGAAAGGAAAGTTAATGCAAAGATAAGGACATGCGTCGCTCACTCATAGATATATATGCTGCTAGACTTCTACTGCTTGAACATATATGCAACACGCCGCGGTTCCTTGGAAGCAAAATGCTCAATAACGCGCTGATTAAAGTCATGCATCCCAGAAATAACGTCTCTGTGAATGGATAAAACAGCCAAGGAATTTAATCTATCTTGCTTCATTGTGTTTCTGAGATACGTTATAATACGCTTCAGCGTGCTGAATGTTCGCTCTGCGTCGGCGGAAGAAATAGGCGTCGTCAAAATGATGTCCAGAAATTTTGCAGACGCCGCAAAGGTAGTTACTAGAGTGTTATCTATGAGGAACCCATAGAGCGCGCAAGGTGATGTGATGTTCAAAAAAGTTTGATTGGTGTATATACATCGCAATTCATTTACCAATTTACCCACGTTTATCATGGGGTAAAATTTGGAGACAGTAGCCAACAAATGGATGGGAAATTGACGTGCAAATTTTGAAAAAATTTTTGGGGTTCATCAAAGAGAACGCGGCAATGTGTTTAGTGCGCAGACGATCGCCTATTTGATTCACCAGAATGTCACAGCATTCCTTTGCAGACAAAATCAAACGCTGCGTTGTTTGCCCGCGGCGTAAAGAAGCACTCCATGTGTCGTCGTATTTTATTGTTTCTCGGATACGAGATACAGCATCGCAGAAGTCTGAAATACACGACTGCACAGACGCTCCATCCATTAGCCTTGACTGCAATGCGCCGTATAATACATCCACGTGATAGAATATTGTGGAGAAAAAATGAAAACTCACCATCTTCTAGCAGACGCTTTAGACCTGCCGCCTCCCTCACAGAGCGTTCGTCCCAAACCGAAGAGCTCTGAATGCCATTGAAACACTCAATGAGCTCAGACCTAATTTCGGACAAGCCCTGCACCACGCGTGATTGGAAGTTCCAACGTGTTGGTGCACAAGCTGGGAGACGGCGGCTACATATCTGGCGAAGGAGGTCAGAGCGCTTCGGCGAAACGGAAAAAAATGAAGAAAACCCCGAAACATTTGCAAAAGATATACGGACGAGAGGGGTATCAAGACACATATTTTTAATAACGAGGTTAAATTGGTGTGCATAACAATGTAAAAAAATGCGCATGAGGAAAATCTTCTTTTATATAAACTTGAACACCATGTTTCGACCCACTCATGACTGCCGCGCCGTCATAAGTTTGAGCTATCAATTTTGACTTCGCGTTGTAAGGCTGTAACACTTCTTTCAGTACAGCCGATAGCCCACAAGCCGTGCGATCAACGATTGGTACAAAGCTGTGAAATCTCTCGGTAGGTTTACCATCTTTCACAAACCGAAAAATCACAGCCAGTTGGGAAAGGAACTGGCAATTCTCAATTTCCAGAGCCAAATGTTGTAAATAAATTTTATACATTGAGTCGAGCAAATCATTTTGGATATCCTTAGATGTCCGTTTCGAAACAGTTGCGGCATCAAGATGATCTCTCAGTACTGTATCTAGGGATGCGGTGTATTCCACCATATCCAAAAATACCCCTCTATTAGAAGAGCCAGCCCGTTCATCGTGCCCACGGAGGGACAGCTCGTGACAACCAATGAACTTCAAAACATCTATCAATCGACCGAGAACATGGCGGTTTTTCTCGACGTTTTGGTTGTGCCGACGAATAGAAACCGCGCGTCCTTCATCCAACTGTGCTGCAATATTAACATTTCCGAATGTTCGGTATTTTACTGCATTGTCCAGATGCTCCATAGAAGATTGATGATCCCTGGCACGCTCGGAAAGATGTTTAAGATCTCTAAAACCAAATTTACACCAACGTGAGTCACGGGCGGTAGCAAAAAGTAGGCAATAAAAACAAAAAAGTGCATTTTTGTCCTTGCTGTAACACAACCATTTGTGTTTTTTATACCAAGTTTCTGCGCAGAATGTACGCCGACGCTTTCCTTCGTCATGGGATTGTTCCAGTGAACAATTTTTTGGTTGATAAGGCCCAAGACGTTGTACCTCTAATTTTTGTTCCAGCGGCAGCTGCGAAAACGGAGTGCGAAGTAGTGCATCAACCTTATTCAATATGAGATCTAAGGCTAAGAAATGCGAAGCCGGAAAGAAGTGAGGAGCTCAAAAGGGATGTGAAAAATCGAAAGCAAATGGACTAAAGGTCTCTAACTGATTCAAATAGCGAAACAAGCGACAAAAACGAAGGCGAGGAAACTATCAACTTTTCAAGCAACCAACGAACGAGAAGGAATGCGTGAATATGTCAACACGTTGTTGTAAGAAACGTCGGCATTGTGTCGTCATAATTTCGGGGCTAGCCCCGATCGGCCCCGATGATTTAGTAAAAGAAACAGAAAACAAACGAGACAAACGCGGCGAGTGGAAGATAAAAGAGAGAACACGATATACAATGAGCAACCGGGGCAAAATCGGCGTCGTCCCATCGACGTTCGGCGAAGGCTTTGCGAGCGAAAAATGAACCATGTCGGGAGAATATGGCTAGTGTAGACAGTCTGTGCAACCGATATTGAGGTATTTTTTGAATATTTTTTATTATACCGAAAAAACAACCGGGGCATTGCCCCGGTTGGCCCTATTGACGCGCCGCCACTGGGTGGCACTATACCTCTATTACGTAAGAAATTAGCCAAATGAATGCTGGGCTCTTCTCGACAATATTTCGCGAGTTCTCACTCATTTGTTACGTCATAATATATTTCTTTGTAGCCATACGTCATGAAAGGACAAAAAGATAAATAAAATAAATAACGGATTGTTAACAAACGATCTAATGAATAAACGAACACCTAATTTCAAGAGATAATTCAGAGTCTTGAAACCTTTTATCTGAAGGAAAATGATCTCGTTTCCGAGGCCTCGCCCGCATGCCGAATAAATGTCAAGTTTGGCACGTGTGCCAGGGGTTACCTGCTAGGTACTCGCACATTAAAAATTCTGGTACATTATATTTCAGCCAAAATTATGTTTTATGTGTAAGTAACAATTCGTTGTACTTACCATCGAATAGATTAGAAATGTCTTGTGTGAGTTCAACGACGAAAGTATCATCTGAAATAACACGCAATGGGTCATAGGATTCATGTCGCTAATCTCAGAATTTAGGGTTGAACAATACTGCACACAAACACGAAAGACATCAAAAGCAACATTACGCGCAGCGCGTCAAAGAGTGGTGATCGTGTAGCAAGATTTTTACAAACTCCAAGCCTCCAAATAATTTTATCATAATCAAAGAAGCTAGTGAAATGTTGAATCTTTGAGGTAAAATCAAAAACAAAACAAAAAACGCTAAAACAGAAAAAATCTATTTGAATGACCCATACAGATATAATCGTTTTTATTTTAAGAAATTATTCGCGTGAATTACATCCGTTTCCCGGTTTAAACGAAGTCGACACGCGTAAGCTACATGGCCTTCTATATTAGAACGCCATGGTTGTCAGTATATTCCGGGACAACCGTAGCCCAGCCCGGGACGCCAGGCGTCAATTCCAGGACTGTCCCGGTCATTCCGGGGCGGTTGGTAGCCCTATGTATAGCTAGAACGCTTTTTTCTATTATTTCTAAACTGACTGATGAACCTTCCAATAAATAAGTTGATATTCCGTCATATATATTCACAGACAACGTTCCAAAAAAGCTAGTACTTACAGTTTGGAGATTCTTCAATACTTTGTTCTCTATTTAGTACACCGAACAATTGTACCAAGACAAGGATAAACACGCAGCCAAGCAGGAAACGAAGCATCTTTCTTTTGACTTCGTAAGTACGGTGGCAAAACTTGTCACAGAAGCACAATATAAATTGTTCGCACAACAACATTTCCTGTCGTAGGAAACTATGATTTGATGAATCAATCGTTGCAGAAACGCGAAAAGGACTTCATTTCCGTTGCAGAGTAGGCTAGTTTAATCCGTAGAACAACCAACAATATAACGAGATTGGAGTCTGCTGTTTCTGCAGCACTTCTATCTCAACTACGTTTTCATGGCGTCACCACGGCGCCAACATTTTGTACTGTTTTTATTTTGTTCTATGGACCTTTCCCCGAGCATCGACTTTCTTTCATTGGCCAATCAGCAAGATGTAAAAAGTGACGTAACAATGCTCTCTTTTTGCGTCCGCTCAGACACTTTTCTCACTCAAACAGAATTTCAGGCGTGGTCGTAAACATTACCTCGTTTTCGCGTTTTTGAACTATATTCGTTAGTTTTAATTTGTGTTTTGGAAATTTAAATATAAATCAAATAACTCAATGATCACTCTGTCTTCTTAGGAGTTTCAATGCAATTGCAGTAATAAAAAACTGGTGTAGATAGACTAGGATAAGAAATTTTACTAGTACTTTTAATAAACAGATTGTTGTATGCGATGAATCATAATGATGGTTTGAAACAAGTAGCCCATTTTACAGGCGCCATTTCGCGAAACCACTCATAAAATGAGCACCGAAAATTTTGCAATGGTAAAGTATAGGAAGAATTTTTCGGGGATCAAAGGTCGAGGAAAGGTCCAATGTCACTGTTTTTTTTTCTGAAAGTCTGTTGTTACTTGTATTATATCGGTCGTGTGCTGTATTTGGAATCTTCAGTAATATGCAACATGAAGCAAGTTCACATATCTGCAGATTATTGGAATGGCTCCACTTGGCACTCGACCTGTTGCATTGGCATGAAAACAATCGGTTAAAATAACTATTTGAACAAAGTTATTAACAGCAAACATATTATTAATTTTATTCACGATTGTTCATCTGTATATTATATTAGTTTTCAAAAATATTTGAGAAACTCTCAGAAAGAGACTCTCAGAAATATCGCCCAAGACAACCTTAATCGATATCAAATCACATCTTGCCTTTTATAAGCTGTTCTCAGCTTTTGACCCAAAACCAGACTCAGGTTTATACAACCAACGAGAGCCTGAACGAGTGGAGCTACAATTTCACCTTGGTGGGAATGGGGATTGAACCCAAGATCTTTACAAAGTTCTGTAGAATGTACAAAAAAAAGTAAATGCTTGGAAAGCTCATCTGACTGGTAAGCGCATGTCAATCTTGTTTGTTTACGTTTTTCGTGTATGTTTTGAATCTTGAATGGTAGTTATAAATTCAGTAGGAAAATTTTATCCTCATAGCTTTAGAGCTGTTCCATTATTGCTCGTATAGGCTACTGCTTGGGGATTATATACTTTTTGCTACGTCCAAAATTGGCCACAATCTTGTCGACCTCAGTTGAGCAAGTTTTACAGTAGCATTTATATTTTCAAACCTTATCTCACCAATCTCAGTGGTTCTTTCGTTTAAGAGCATTTGATAATGATTTGACGTAACGTCATTTACAGCTAGCTATTCTTAAACTCACACATGTATATATGCTTTTTAAACTTGGGGTCAAATACGATTAAACAATGACTGCTGTAAATTACAAGAGAAAATTGTAAAGGCTAAACTTATAATTTAGTGGGAATAATTCCTCGATTTCCCGAGGGTAAATGAAGATGATAAATTATAACTTTATTTCACGGTGCGATCGATGTAATTGAAATGACGTCGTCGCAATTTTGGAAGCGACAGTGCATTCAAGACCTTCTGTCTGTCTGTAATGTCAAATTTTAATTTATGGCGTGGGAGAACCGACTGAATTCAGCCAACAGTTGTGAATAATCTACGCTGTCTAGTCCATTGCCAACTTGCCTTGTAAATTCCTCTTTATCAAAACCTTGCAAATTACCATATACGATGTGTAAGCATTCTACAGAATATTTGAATATTGGCCTATTAGCATGACTAAACTAAGCATTATTGGATTATTCCAATGTCAAAACAAGGAGTATTAGCCTTTTAGACTAAATGTTAATGACCACACTAGAAAATATTGATCGTTACATAAATTATTGACTTTGTCGTAAATCACATAAGATATTAATTAAGAGAATTATTTATGCATATATATCACAGTGAATGTAGATAGACTATCATTTATCACAATCGATGTTAAAGATTGATGGTGAGGCAAATTTACAAAAAGCTTAATTAATTAATTCTCTTCGACAAAGAGAATTCCATTTATGGCGCTTGTTTCAAGGAGAAATCGAAACAAACACTCAGCTACGCAATGCCTTATTACGCTCATATAATTTAAAATTGTTACCAGCATATTTTAACTAAACACAGTGTTTTGGGTGATTCGTGATAAATGTCCTTATTACTTTCATGGTTACAAACAGTTGAGAATCCGTAAACACTTGAGAATCCGCCTTTTACTCTTGCATAAATTCATGCGCAATCATTTAACTGCTTCTGCAAATCGATACCAATGTTATCACGTACCACACAAAACAGCTTTCAATGGATTTATGTGGGTGCTTGATTGGATTTAAAAAGTCAATACAGATAGCATTATCTCCTTGTTTATGCTATAAAGAGAATGTCAAAGCAGGAATTCTTTGTTCAAAGTACATTACTCAAGAAAAAATTGTCCAAATAAACAAGAATTTATTACATATATATATTTTCCGTAGTTGTCAAACGACAATAAATGGTCCCAAATTCATACTGAAAACAAAATATTTATGTATTTTTAGGTATTTAAATTTTTTGAACTTTTTATTTCATGCTTGAAAATAAAGAATCGATTATCAAGTTTTAATTTCGTTTGTGCTGGAGCCATTCTGTCCCAAGTGGAATGATTTGACAGGCTGGGATCGTGGTACTGAATAAAATATTTTTTTCAGTATTTCTGATATTTTCCAAGAAAAATAGCGAAATGGCAGCGATCCAACTTTGGAATAGGTCATGGTGCCAGAAAATTCCTGTTATTCATTGCTCATTGTCAACCACGAGTGATTATGTGCAAAGACACAAGGAGTTACAATCACATATAGTGATAATACAGGCAGATTGAAACGGAAACAAACGCGTATTACGTCAAAAAATAATAAATCCCAGGGTTAATCAAAGCAGTGCATCCCAACATTTTCTTATAACCACAAGCTTTTTCAGGAGTTATTGCGTTAAAACATTTTCTCCGAACTGACTGGGGGGTCCTGATTTTTTCGCTCAATTAAGCAAATTCTTATCAAATTTTATTGGAGACTTCAGTATGCGGGGAATGAAAACTTTCTCTAAATCGGAACTGGGTAATTAAAAAAAAGAAAGATAAAGAACAATCATTGTAGACTGACTTCATAGAATAACCTTCGTACTCTCCGTATCAGGAAATGTCATTAGCCCAACACAAAAATTACAGCTTGAATTAAGACTTTTTACAGCGCTACCGTGGCTCGGGAATATTAAATTGGGTAAAGTACGTAGATACAAACGTTACAATATCTTTGTTCGCTGCTTCCTCCCACAGATAACATTAGAAAGGACCATGTCTGAGAAATTTAGTATTTTATTTCACAAAAGGTGAATTCAATTAGGCACAATCCCTGAGGAACAGAAACAATAGCACTATTCCCTTGCCTCGGATCAGTAAATTTGTTTTTCGTAAATTTTACAATTAAGTCGGCAAATGCCAGAACCATCTGGTGTGTATTAGGGCGTCCAATGTTTTCACAATAAATATATTCAGGAAGCATGCACATGTCATCGAACACGGGGACTGAAAATTTTAAAGTTAGAATATTCATTTTGTTTAAAATTTATGGTTTTATCGTGATACCTCCGAGTGAATGATAAAAATATTTATTACTGAATTATTTCTACCAGCATTTTCTTAAAAGCACTTCGATCGCTTCATTCGATTAAATCAAGTATATATTTAAAATTTGTAGTTTATTGGCAGTGTAAGTAAAGTCCCCATTTCGAGTAGGCTTGCTAAAATTGCAAAAAAAAAACTAAACCGCAAGCAATCGGTGTGATGTTAAGTATAGTGACAACACAAAATATTAAAAATCGCGGAATTCGGAAAAAATGTACATGCTTAGATTTTTACAAAATTTCAAAAGTGCCCAACTGTCGACCATCATAATATGTATGAAACATATTTCAGGATTGTTCTTTGGTTATGAAAGAAAAAATTCTTTTGTTTGGCAAAATAAACTTGTTTATGATAAAGTCGTTTCTCTGCTAATGACCATTCATCGTTTTCATGCGATTCTCCAGAAACTTCCCAAAGTTCGATACACGAATTCTCGACCAAAACATTTACCGTTGTCTCTATAATTTGAGAGCAACAAATCCTTCAGCAACGTTTTTGTGAATGTTCCCTCGAAAAAGCGCAATTGCATCTGATCATTCAGACGGTCTCTTCCCAAAATCAAAAGGTATCAAAATGTGTTTTACTCAATGTTTCAAACCACGTAGATCTCGCAACAGCGTTGTAAGGATCCAGTGTAATTCGGACACATCGTACCAAGAGGGTCAAAAAGAAAACCAACAGAAGACCCAACAAAACATACATAATTGATTCCTCTATCAAATATTCGCCATTATAAGGAGAAGGTTCGTTTATGTTATTGCCTAAAACGAGATCACCATTGTTAATGTAATCGTACATAGATCCATTTTTATTCATATAATCTTCGTTGATCAAGTCTGTGGATCCCATTTCCAACATTGGCTCATTTATTTCCATTGTTCCATTCATTCCACTCGTTGTTGACATAATATACATGTTAAATTAGTATGTATATAACTGAAGAAATCGTTAAGCGAATGAAAAATAAACATATCACTTTATTCAAAGTCGGACTGTTAAGGAAGAATTATAAAATCATTTCATATAGTTGAATTATGGCAAATTGGAATAGAAAATAGTATAAATAAAACGATGTGTGTTGTTATAATGCTATTAACAATGATTTATGCAACAACGGTATATTATAGGCTCATTTACATCGAAAAGAGAATTGAAAAATGCATAATGCCATAACGTAATTGGCAATTTGAA